CGGGCACAGCAGCACCAGCCCCGAGGACACCTCGGGATCCAGCCCCGGCCCTGGCTGGGAGGCTCCGGAGCAGCGCGGATGCCTCCAGTTCCCCTCGCCTAACCCCAGCCCCGAGGCCAAACGAGGCAGATGCTTCATTTCTGGTCAAAAAAACAAAACACGGAGAAACAAACAGGGCCAGCGGTGCAAATTCCTTGCTAGATTTGCAGCTGCTAAATCCAGAGTATCAGCAACGAGGATCCCATGCTATGGGGGGATCCTGCTTCTCCTTCCTTCCTTGTTCCAGAAAAATCTGCCTCCAATGAGGGCCTGGAGCTGCAGCTTTGCACTGCCGGGGAGCAGGACGCGTCCCCGCGCGCCTGCCTTGCCAGGTGGGTGAGAGCTCAGGTACTAGCTGCTCCAGTCCCTCCCTGCTCATTCTCTGCTGTAATTATCCCCCTCCATTCCAGACAGCTGCAAGGAAAAAAAAAAAAAACATAATAATAATAAAACCCCCTCATTTATCCACAGCCAGGGAGCAAGAAGTGCAAAAGCTCCCTGGGAAGGAGCTGGGCTGGGGGGAGAAGCTGGGAAAAGCCGGGCAGCCCCAGGGCCTCCCACCTCTGCAGGAGGTTTGGGAGGTGGGTGACAGAGGTTTGAAGGGAAGCGATGCCAAAAACCAGCCAAGCGATGCCAAAAACCAGCCATGCTTTTCCATGGAGCCAGGGCACTCTTAGTGCATGGTTTTACTCTTTTTGCCTGAAATTCATCTTTTACTTGATTTGCACAAGGCCAACGCCAGACGCATGGGAAGGAGGTTGCACTTAGATGATACTTCGGATGCAATGCAAGGATTTCTCTTTTTTTGTGTGTGTTTCTCGAATCTCCCCATCTCATCCAGGCACGGGTGCACTGAGGAGCAGCCCCGCTGGAGGTCAGTGTTCCTCCAGCAACGGGCATCTCTGCATGCCCAAAACTTGGGTGGCCCCGTGCAAAATATCTGCAGCATGGAGAAGGGAAAACTTCTTCCCTACGGTTAGTTATTTAATTGATTGTCTCTTTAAATTGCATTCAAATTTAATTAGGAAGCTACTACTAGCCAAAGATGGACCCAACTCTGCACAAGTCGGCAGGACCCGATGCTCATCCAAGAGCACCCAGGGGCTGCAAGCAGAGCCGGGCGCCCTTCCCTGGCCAGGGAAATCTCATCCAAGCGGCATTTTGACACCCTGTCACAGGCAAATCGGAGACCTGCAGCAGCTTTCCTGGCTCCCAAGTTTGTCTTAAATGATGTTTCTACACTTGCGTGAAATACACCCAGTTTTTCAGTTTGCTCAGGAGAAAAAAAGTCACCAAAGAAACAACTGTCCCCATTTTAGAACAAAACATGTTCTTCTTTCCCTTGGGTGCCAGGCTGTTGGCTCTGGCCCCATCAGTCTTCCATAAGCCTTCCACGGAAATAAAAAAGCCTGGGACCACTTCTAACACAGAAGGCAACTGAAATGCATAGAGCTTCTCTCTGATCTCCCCTTTCCGTAGGTGTACTTTTTTAATCTTAGCTTTTACTTATATATTTTTTTAAAGGGCAGTTGCCACCTGCAATCTCATCACTTCTCTGCAACTGATCCTTAACCCCAGCAGCAGGTAGATGTTCTCGCCTAGGCGGGCAGGTCATTTTAAGCATTGAGCCTTTGTCTTCTCTAAGCTGCTGTTCTTGAAAGGCTTCTCCCTGACCCTTCAGATGTGCAAATATATCAAAAGCTGCTGAAGATGGAGAGGTACTGCGAGAAGGTAATGGTGCAAAGAAGGTGAAACCCTAAGGAAACCAAGATTTTTAACTACGTATCTTGATGCTCAAACTCCCTCCTCCCTGAGGACAAACCATGTCCAATTTTCAGGGCCCAACATTTCCATTGTTTTACGAAGAAAAGCGATGAACAGCAGCGAATGGACAACCCAACAGAGGCAAAAGTCCTGCCAGTGACCTCCTACTTGCTGCTGATCATCGGCCTGATGAAAGTCTAGCAAAAGTGAGGAGAGATCAGGTCCCCTGCAAGGAACCAACCGCCTTGGGTCATCCAGGAAGGATAATAATATTGGCAAGAATATTGAAAATGACCACAATCGGTCAAAACAGGAGTGATTAAAGTTGTCCTCGACTCAGAGGGGATGCTGTAAGAAAATGTTGGCCAGGTGCAGTCCATGCACCTCCAATCCCAGGCTGAGGAGCACAGCCATGGATGACGTGACCAAGGGATGTGTTCCCTAAAAGATGCCAAGTGCCTAGAAAGGATATGTGGGTAGTCACAGAAGTGTCTCAAGCAGACAGAAAACTGAATATCCCCTAATTAAGCTGAGAATAAAAGATTTAGGTCAATCTCACACTCTTTTCGTTTCGGAGAATATGGTCAATCTCACACCCCTCCTGAAGCTGCAAGTTAAAATTATTGTGCTGAATATCAAGGGGAAAACAATCTTGCAGGCAGAGGCTCCAAGGGCAGGTTCCTGGGCAGTTCCAGCTCCAAGGGCAGGTTCCTGGGCAGTTCCAGTGCCAGCAGATGTGCGGCCTCACCGGGAGCACCGGCAAGACCACGAGGCCGGTGCTGCCACCGAGCACCAGGAACTTTGACTCCTGTAACAAGCCCCAGCAATTGGACTCCCTTGGCAAATCATCCAAAATAAACAGCATCTGTTTTCACAGATGGAGAAAATTAAGACATACTAGCAACTTAGTTTGAAGTTATAAGGCCAGACATAAATAAATGAGAGGCAATCTTTCCATAAGATGGTGGCTTGATTACTGAGGATGCAGACAGATGAATAAATCACCTTAGGGTGAGATAGGCTGCAACTTGCTACACATCCCTGAGACTCCAGTAACTGCTCATGTGTATCCTCTTAGCCTGAAGGAAATGAGAGGTAAGTGATATTGCCGATGGGATCTGCAGGGCAGGAGCACACACATGGGCAGTTACTGCAAATTAGCTGATGCTCTGCAAGAGCCCACCCCGATTCGCCTCATGGTAACTTTTTAATCTGCCTCCATTGCTGTCTGAGCTCCTCAGATTTACATAACTTAAAAAAAATAAGAAAACAAGACGAGAAGCGATGTGGCACGCTAGCAGCTTTCTTTGAAAAACTACCCTCTCAGAAGTGAAGTGCATTGAAATCAAGTACTTCAAAGGTTTTAAGCCTACTTTATTGACTGGAAGGAAGATGATGTTACAGATAACTAAGTCTTGGAGTACCTTGACATTAAGGCTGCGAAACCCAGGCAAAAGCTGGAGCCTCCCTCAACACAAAACATCAGTGTTTGAGAGCGCCAGGACGAGGAACGTGATCCAAAGCAAGAGCAGGAAACTGGGTCTGCGGCCGGTCCTCTGATTTCTCCAGCTCACTGACCCTTTTGCTATGGGCTGCTCCTGTTGATGGTCAAGATGCTGTGGACAGTTACTTAGATGTGAAATGGTCATGCAGAAATAAATAGTAAAGCTTTTTGGCAACTCTCTCCGATGAGCATTTCAAGCCAATAAAGTCTTAGCTCCAGCCCTACCTGATGCCAGAGCTCCCAGGTTTATACATAAATTAAGATACTATTTCGGGCTCTTTAAACACTTGGCATTTAGTTTAAAAGGAAGTCTGAAAAAGATGGTACTGTTATTGCCCAAAGTCCTGCTCCCCTTCCAAGGCAATTAAGGAAGACGGCCTGATGCTGTGTTTCATATCCGAAGGCATGAGGAGGGGACCCTGTCCACACGCTGTGGATTCAGGCCTGGAGGAACCAGGTCTGTGAAGATGCCAAAGCATGAAAAATCAGTGGAAACTCTTCCAACAAAATAAGGTGAGTCCCTTTAGTGTCACACATCTCAATGCTTCCAGTTATGGTTTGACCTTTTTGCAGTGTGGGACATCACATGTGCATGGTCCAGTGCTGCACGGCCAACATTCATTCCGTCTTCATACAAATTCTCTTGCTCAAGGCCACCGGTGTTGGTGAGCTGTCAGTGGGCTGAGGAACAGCACAAGAAGGGCTGTGATAACTTTAATATTTACTTTCCACAAGGTATCAGAGCCCTGTCTCATCCCAAAAGAAGGATCCTTCTTTCTGGTGCAAAGCAGTTTGTAAGAAAATGCTGAGGAGCAGGCCATAGATCGGAAGTCCAGCCAACCTCCTCCTTATATCCATGTTACCTCAGAAAACAATGAAGAACTCCTAAAAGCCCAACTCATCAAGCCCAACACCTAAAAAGCTTACGTTCTTCCAAAAATCTCGCCAGAGTGAATGAGGATGTAGGTGATGCAGCCAAGGACTCTAGAGTTTCCACCAGTCCAATGGAAGTCACAGAAGAATTGGGCTTTTGGGACATTTTAAATCAACCTGTCTAGAAATAGCTAGACATCCAAGAAAGGTCAGTGAGGTCCAAGAGCACCTTGGGAAGCCAAACTGCCTACATCACATCAGTCTAGAAACCATCTTGGCCTTCAACTTTACTTAAAGGAAACAATCAGTCTGTATCTCTGACGATCCTGTACCTACCACAATATTATCCTCAAAAATAAAATAAATAATAAAAAATAAGGTAGATGATAGGCAGAAAGGGATGACGAAGTACCTAAAAGCCACCTGCAATTTGTAGGCATAATCTACCTGGTTTCAGTTACCACCACTGTGAAAGGCCCAAGGATAAAGTGGAAAG